GTCAGAAGTGATTTCTGTACAGAAGCACACGCGTTGTTGCGCTTCCACGAGGAAAGTTGCGCTGGATTCTCGTCGATTTTTTTTGTTTCTTTTTTTCAAGTGAAACGGTATTTAACGCGAACGAAGTCACTCCTCGGCGGGCGCCGCGTTCTCATTCTCTTCCTCCTCCTTCTTTTTCGATTTAGTCGGATCTTCGTAGAGCTCTGGAACCCGATCTCTCCATCCTTTGCCTGAAACGTTCAAAAAAGCCGAACTGGTTCTTCTGCCATTTTTATCCGCGTTTGCGTGTCCCAGTCATCTGGTTCTGCCTGACACAGTGGAGTCTTGCCCATCGTGTACAATCTTCCTCCCTTTTCGGCCCTTTACTTACTCCGTTCGATCCAGATCGCGCGACCGCGAAACACGCGACTCGAAGATGAACAAAAGAAAAGAAAGAGAGAAACGACAACGAGATCGTCGGTTGCGTCGTAGACGAGGGAAAAAAAATAGACGAATGCTCTGTCTCACACCTTCGTTACTACGTACACGTACATGTTCAATTAGACACAATATGTAACATAAATAAATAGCTACTGAACAAAATACGAGGAAAAAAAGATAGGCAAAGTGGAGGAGACTACGTAACGAACGAGGAAAAAAAAACGCCAAAATATATAAGAGTAGCACAGCACAGCAAAAATGATCATACAGTGCGAATCAACGTGGCAATCCATCCAAAAAATAGAAGAAAACGTAGAAAAACGAGCGGGAAAGAAAAAACCAGAAAAGAAAGGTACACACAACGGCGTCCCAAGGCCGCTTTTATTTTCCAAAATTCTTTTCATCATTTATATCTTGTATATGTATATTTGTTTTAGCGAACTGCGAGAAAGTTCAACCACGAATAAAATACCATCACCTAGTCGCTTCTCTTATCAGCCACGATGTCGATCCGTAGCAAATCGGCATTCTCTATCTCTAGGCAATTATTCGTAATTAATCTTTCCGCGCTGTGACATACTATACTATTCGGTGCTTCTAGCATGTTCGAATTGAGTAAAAAAAGAATAATTCGTTCGTATGGTCGATTTCGCGAGTACTCGATCGTGATCGTGGTGCGTCGAAGCAAATTCTTTCTCGAGTTTCTGTAATTGTTCCGGTAGAAGTTGTCTTCGTTGCACGGTAATTTATCGTAAAGCGTTCGTAACGGTCGTTGTTGTTGTAATTGTCGGTCGGTATAACGAAATTACTCACAGGCGTTAGCGGCCGCCTCGCGGTTCTTGCTGTAGTAACTCAGAAAATTGACGTCGGTTTTGATGTCCGACGGACGTAGATCGGCAACCTTGAAGTAGGGTTTCCTGACCGATTGTGGCTTGCCGGCGACATATTTCACGCAAGCCAGATTACCGAAGTTACCACGGTCCGGTACCTCGTACCACGATACCGGATCTACCCAAACTTTCTTTGCGTTGCTCTTGCCGGAAATTAGTCGACGAACGTAATCCCCGCTACGCATGCGTTCCGGCACGATCTCTTCCAGGAAGTCGCTAAAAATCAAACGGTATTTCCTTTATACGTATCTATCCGTACGTATGCAAAATTCGTAGAAGCTGCTCGGTGAGTTTACGCTTCGTAACCGTAAGCGTTAAATACCTTGCTACAGCTCGTGGAACGAAGACGTGAACTCGTCGCAGAAGGGAATCCACTCTCGCACGTATTTCCCTCGCCTCGTCGTCGAAGTACTGCGAAGAGAGACACGTAAAGTATACGTCGAGAGGAATTGCTAGTAGATATTTAACTATGATCAGATCGTTATTTCGACTAGAGTCCTGCTAATCGGCAGGTGAACGGCGATAATCGTTGAAACGCGAAATTGGAATGGCCGCAGTGTAGAGTCAAGTGCGACTCGAAAACTAATCTCGACGTTAACGATAGAGAAAAGACGACGCGATTCCGCTGAAAGATGATGGCCGGAGATGTTGTCGTAGTAATCGACGAGTTGATATGGTGAGAGGAGGAGGTGCGACGACGAGAATGATCGATGATGGCATGGATGATGACTTGACGACACCGATGGTAATAGCGGTTGTTCGGTGCTGAACAGAGAGAAACGTGGCAGACTTACGATATGATCCTTGGACTGAAGGTATCGTTCCGTGTAGGATTCGGTGGAGGGCCTGACCAGGTTCCGTATCCTGCTGAGCTCAGCTGCGAGGACGCTGGGACGTACGCGCGCGTGTACTCTTATCGGTATCAGGCTGCCGCCATGGTACACGGTATGGTACGGCGTGTGTACTCTTATCGGTAACAGGCTGCCGCCATGGTACACGGTATGGTACGGCGTGTGGATTACAGTCACGAGCCGTTTGTGAGCCACGTATGGCATGCGAGGAATGCTCCTCAACTAGAGGCACGAACTCTGCTTTACTAATTCGCCGACTAATCGTTACATTCCCAGTGGCATCAGCAGCAATTAGCTTCGAGTCAGTTGCTTTGCTCTAGCGTGCCTTCTTTCACTCCGTTCGCATTCGTTCCCAGTAGTATGAGCAATCAGCAGCGGTAAGCGGTCAAGCAGGGAAGCGTCAACGAGATCGTTGTGTAGATTGCGACAAGTAGCGATTTTCCAATAACTTTCAGGGGATTGGTAGAAAAATGAGTAGCGACGGGATGAGAAATGGCGCGGATGATGTTAAGCCGAAAAGCGTCGTTATCAGAGCAGTTTCAGAGCGAAAGAAAAAAAGGAGACGAAGAAAGCTGACGAAAGCCGGTAAGTTCGATCGGCAAGAAGTGATTATTAGAAGAAGTCGCGGCGATCGCACTTGTCGCATTTCGCATTTGCATTGTTCAAGACTCTGTGAATATTGGCAAGCGCGCTACTTTCTTTACTAGCACAAGCATCGTGATACTTACCTGAAGAATCGTGGAGATCGGTAGGGTAATCGGTCGATCCTGTGCTCCCGTTTTCGTTGTATTTACACAGATGTATTTTTTGTGTGTTTCGTTTAATCGATTTTCGATGATATTGGGCGTAATCCGGCGGCGGCGGGGGACGAGGAGTCACATGGGAAGCAGAATAGAAAATAGAAAGAAAGAAGAACAACACCCGGTTAGTACAGTATCCTTTCTCCGCACTCTTTTTGCTCATCTTTCTCTTTATTTATTTATTTCTTCTTTTTTTTTTTCTTTTCTTTTTTTTCTTACACACACACGTGCCTGTTACCAAACGACGATCATCCGATAAAGAGCGCGCGATTGCTTAACGGAAAGAAAAAAGAACAAGAGAAAGTGTGTGTGTGTGTGTGTGTGTGCGTGCGTGCGCGCGCGTGTGTATGTGTACCTTCGACGAAAGGTTCAGAAATGTTCCGATCGTCCACGAGCAAGAAATTTGGCCAATTGTCGCGTTGTGTGTCTATCGAGATGAGTTTCGAGTTGTTAGTCACGATTAGTAGTTTTGGTACACATAGACGTATGTATTAGGAAATTGGTATAACAGCGCTGTATCCTCTTTAATTAATTCACACTACCATTCCACACGCTAGAAGACACGAAATTATGCTTGCACAAGTATAAAATATCCGCTTCACTATGCGAAAGCAAAAAATGAAAGAAAAAAAAAGGAACACTCCACGCGTGTAATCCATAAAGTGGAAGGAAAGGGATTGCGAAAAAAAGAATTTCTACGTTGGACGCATCGAAGAAAAATGAAGAAAGTGTGAAATTACCGCACTTTTCGATTCGTTCTAATCGTTACAAAAACATCGCTACAATATTCGCCACGCTGCGCCTTCTTCTACTACAGATTCAGTATCGTGCTACCAAGCTGTTAATCGTGTCGAACAATACTTTTTTATGGTATCCAATGATTAGCGAGACTAGCTGTAAAACACCTAAACGCAGCTACGTTACATGTTTGTTACAACTATATGTATACACTCGTATAGCGATTTTCAACCGCCTTCCTGTAAAAATTCATCGCACCTATAAATACAACAGATAACTATCCACATTAGATCAACTATTCGAAGAGTCGAAAGGTAGGAAGGTGGTTCGTCCGTTTCACCAAAATCGATGTACATTAGCTAGGCCTACGTTCGTTGAAACGAAAAGAGAGGGATTCGTTAAGTTAGCCAGATCAAGTTCGATAAGTGTGTGATAGGAAATTTGAAAGACGGAGAATTGCCGCCGTGACGTCGAGATCGGTGAAACGAAACAAGCATCGGAGGCCGTCGGGTCGAGAATTTAGACGCGGTAAGAGAAATGGCGGTAAGTGGTACCGCCAGGTAAACGACCGGAAGAGTGGGACTCGTAAGAGGAATGATAACTTCCAGGACCGCCGCCGCTCGATGTCCTAGACGATCTCTCGGTCGAGTACGATCCGTACGGTCCGCTTTCCCTCTTGACGACGTTCTCTTCGGTGTAGCTATTCCTCTGCGGACGACGGCTGTACGGATCCGTAGAGGAAGAAGAACTCGCCGAGCTGGTGTTGGTGTAGGCATAGCTGTACTGCTCTTGAGCAGTCCTCAGCCCGACTTCCGGATAGTCACGAACCACGTAATGCCGAGGTGTCTATAGATTCGGGTTACACAAGGTCAACAATGTGGAGAACAGGCATTTCCGGAGAACAGAACTTGATCTTTGAAAAATATCTAAATTTGTCGCACTCTCTTTCTCTCTCTCTCCCTCTCTCTCAACGACAAAAATGGATCGAGAGTATCCTCTCGTCTTGTCAAGTGAAAAACGAACGCTTCTTTTACGCGTCGAGTTTCCTAAATTCCATCACCCTCGTCCTGTCGCTATCGAATCTGCCTGCTTAAAAAGTGACTTCTGTTTTGCTCTGTTCTCCGTTTCGGAATAACACGTACAGGAGGAAAGGACATCGTGTGTCACGGAATAATGGTTACGCGGGAACAAATACAACCGCGTACGTACTTGGTCGGGTTCATCTCGCAGCGTTATCAACGTTACTCGAATTTCCTCGGTGTTAAGAATGTTACTGTGCGGAAGAAAAAAGTAAGCGGACCGCTAAGATGATTCGCGGTAATAATTATATCGATCTATCTGTAGACACACAACGTGCGGGCCAATTATAAACGGTAGAGCGGTACACGTATGCATTAATAATGTCTCCTTGCCGAGATATTCAGGACACTCTGAGTGCAACGTTGAGCAACTAAATTCACCCTTGCCAAGAAACACATGGATAACGTTACGCGATAGTGTGTACGTTATGTTCGTGTTCTTTGCCCATATACTACACGAGTGCATCTCGGTGTCTCGTTTCGACGTCGGTTTTCGTCCCAAAAGCTTTACCCACAGACTCTTTCAACCTTACTCGAGATCATTAATCTCTGGGAAGCTCCGCGAGTCTTCCGGCTATTGGTAGTAAGTAAGTAGGTAGGTATAAATTTCACAGCCGCCAATAATACCACAGGCCTAAAATACACCGGCAACGATTTTCTCCCTTTTTCTACAACGGACAATTGTAGCTCGGTTCGCGATTATTATAGAACGGGGTATTTCCTAACGGGATCCTCGCTATTCGTAAACGTGTCTTGGGAACGGATCCAGTAAACACGCTGTTCAAAATCGACCAGGATTCACTTTATTTGCTCTCGATCTGCATACAAAGATAGTGTGAAATGTAAACGGCAGCGAGGTATATCGATCAACTATTCGTAGTTTCTATAAATACTCTTGAGTTGTGGAAAACAGAGTAAGCGCTAGAAAAAAAAAAATGGTGCACGAAAATGCGTGAAAACAAAGACACTCGAATTGTATTGCAACATCCCTCTGGAAATATAACACACGCGCTACGTAATCTTTTTACCCGGCGAACGAAGAAACGGTGAAAAGCGGTTGCAACCAACTATGTACGTATTCTATAATAATATTGAGCGAGCAACTACTGTAAATTCTATTCTACGAAGCAAGGTATCAAAATATCTTTCAGTCGTATCGAGTTCTCGAGTTCTTGTTTCTCACGGAAAACGGAATCTTCCATTGAAATGTCGTGTCCGTTTGTTTCTAAAATCGGTACCAAGATGGCGTCTGGAGTGCCATTAATATTTTGGTACGACCACTGGCAGGAGTAACGACGTGTCTTTTAGCAGCCGACGACGGCCTGGAAAGCACTCCCTTCTCGAAAACGTGACCCTTGGTCGCCAATTCGGTCGCGGCATCCCAGCTGACCTTTGACACCGCGCCACCGTCTACCAATTGACGAGTGTGCTCCTGTTTCGCGGGGTTCTTCCCACGCACAACACCCTCCTTCTCCTTCAAGGTAACGTATTGGTAAAATTCCTTCTTCGGATCCTGTTTCTTGCGGCCCCAAACGGTGAAAGGTTCCGGTACCAGGGATGGCCGTGGAACGAACGGCACTTTTTCCCAAGGGAAGTAGTCCTGTTTCTGTAAATTTCATCAGGTTCGAGGAGACGCTTCCTCCCTTTCGTCTCTCTCTCTCTCTCTCTCTCCCTCCGATCATTCTCTCTTTTTTTTACTTTTTTTGCGATAGAGAATCGAAGCTCGATCGAAGAACACTTTCCCTTTCGACGCCTTCACTTCCACACCGTTCTTCCGCATTATCGTTACGCTACGTGCATCTATCGTTGGACAAAATAAACCAATTTTTTTAAGCAGACTTCCGTTGGACTATCTTCTTTTTCTTCCTCGCGATGATTCTTGACGCGAGCTTATTTCGTCGCACCGGTACACCCCGCGTTCCTTATCCTCGCGCAAAAATAGACCGAAGTGATGTGAATGGTATACGTGTACAAGGAACGCAACACCCGCGCCCTCATATTCGCCTCCGCACATTCCAAATCGTTGATCGAGATTTCCACCGCAACACCCTCTTTTATATCCTTCCTACGAATATTATTGTACCGCATCGTCGTTTCAACACCCGTGAATCATTCGTGCCAGAATATCAACTCTCTCTCTCTCTCTCTCTCTATACAGTAGGTATATATCTATGTATAATACATACATAACTTTTCCGTAGCGATCGTTCTTTTATCACTAGGAAGTAGCGGTGCAGAAATCGATATTTCAGGATGATCTGCGATTAGAGAGGAAGAACGCGATAGAGAACTGTGACTCTTTTCCGTTTCTTTCCGTTTCGTGTGGAACCGGCAAGAAGTGTCCGGTAAAAATAGATGGAATTACGTCGAAAGCGAATTGTAACGATAGAAGTTTGTAACGTAAATATGGCCACTCGAAATCGCGTATGAATTTCCGTGACGAATTTTAGCACTCGTGGTGGGAGTGAACGTCGCTGGTACGTCGCGAGTCTAAATTAGGGCAGAGTAACGCAACACCGATGCTCACAGATCCCCTCTACTGTGAAACGAAGAAAGACGGGAAGTGTGTTAATAACATCTTCAACCATCGAAACACGCTTCCTCCTCTGTCAATTCATCAACCTCTGTCATTGGAATCGTTCGTGACGCCCGAGTTGAGACCTCGGCAAAGATCTTTCGAACATAGTTAGAATCACCGAGGAGTTCGGTATTTAGGTCAGCTTTTAACGGCACCATTGATACACGATCAACAATGGAACGATAATCCCCCGATATAATCCAAGCTGTCGGAAAAATCACTCCTTCCTCCTCGTTTTTTCCTCCGGAAGCTCTCCTCCCTCGAGATAACGTATTTCTAATTCGCTCGTCCCTCGAGGATGCCCCGCGTTCGAATTCCTTTCCATCCTGTATTACACACTCGTGGGCCAGATACATTTTCCTGTTCACGAATCGAAAATTTGCCGGGTCGTACCGGTATCTAAGTTTAACGCGATAGAGTCCCGGAAAATGGCTGCAACGCTATGAATAGGCTTTCCTCCAACTCTCTTGCTCTCAAATCGCTGCTGGTATCAATTTTTCATTTTTCATTTCAACAGAAATCTATCGATTTTATATTATATAAAGATAAATCCGACGGCATTCGGACAATTGACACAAGGAGGTACGTAATACCTTGTTAACTTGAGGGTATAACATATACACGAGTACATACATACGAAACACAAAGTTGAAAAGGAACACATAGTGAGTTCAACAGGTATCTTTTCCGTCCGTTTAATTCGACGGATAACTCGTGTCAGAGGTTCTTTGATGCTCTGATAAATGAATTCCGTAAACTGGAGGTTATCACCGTTACACGTTATAGAGTAACTTTTCTATAATACTTGACATTTGGCGCATACTTGATTCGTGTTGTTAAGTGTGCACGTTTACTGAAATGTAGGTTGTGTATCGACGTTAAATTTACCATTTGACATCCGGGAGACACCGAGTGCACGTTTCAACGTTTGGCAAACTGATAAACATTAAGAGTAATGATAATTACGCGGCGGACACGGTATAGGAGCAACGAATAAAACATTAGTCGGAATACAGTGTGGAAGTAGAGACTTCGAAATGCATCGAATTCGATCGGTCGACACTAACAACGATCCATTTAGATCGTATTTGTATCGTGGTCAAGGAGTGTCGTTCTTTCGATCGTGAACACGTTCGAGCCAATGTTTCGCCGTTGGACAAATTTCGTTGGGGGAAGAAATCGTATCGTTTTGAATTGCGTGAAAATGTTCGACGAGAAACTGTTAAACGAACGAAACGTTGACTCTGGATCAGATAAAGTCAGAATAAGAAAGAAGGGTGGTTTTCGGTTAAAGTGTTTCCGTGTCACACGGGGCTCTTATTCGACGTTAGTGCCATCCAGCAAAACATTATTAAGACATACTTCATCCCGCTCTTTTTGCAATCCCATGTACATACTGACCGTGACGCTGTAGGACGAGACGAGGGGCCGTGTATAGGGCCGTCGAGTTGTGTAGAAGTCGCTCTCGTAAACCATCTTTCCTATTTGTTCGTTCTCCTTTTCGGCTCGGAAAATTCGCTCGTTCGCTCTTCCCTCTTCAACACCCGTCGACCAAAGAAATTACGCGTACGGTTCGTATGTGTCGTAATGTTAAAACGGTTGCGCACCAAGCTGATGTAGATCCGCTACTGCGGCCACGAAGAAGGTTCGTACGGTTCTGCTCCTTCCCCGAAACTCTTCTTCGGCTTCTACCACGATCGGTCCACCCCACTTTGCTCCCTCTTCTTTCTCCTCGGTATACAGACGGAGGAGCACATTTTACGTATGTCGCGTCTTCCCCGAGAGGAGTCTCGCGGTCACCACTTTGATTGCGTCATTTTCAGCACACGGCCTGATGCATCGAAAGAAATAGAATTGTGTTAAGGTTGCAACCGGCCACCCCCTTTCATCGCTCTCCCACGATCTTTCCATTTCACTCCGACCGACTCACCCTCTTTTTTTATTCTTCCCCTCTCTCTCGATTAAATTGGGTGAAACTTGGTCTATTTCGATCTTTATCCTCCCACTTTTCTTTTCTTTCCTCACCCTTTCTTTTTCCACAACTGCTCATCCTCCTCGGCGACATACAGACCTTGTTATTCTACATTATCTTTAGAAGAAACTAACGCAATTCGAAAACATCCAATGTCATGTTTGTTTATTTAACAATAGCCTCAATCCCCGCGATTATGCTTCAGTTACATCAGATATTACACTGGCAATTCTCCAGTATTTTTGCGCTAGGTTGTGCAGGTTCCATTAGATACAGTACACTATCCGGTAGGAATGTAAAGAAACATTTCTGCGAAGTGGAGAAGTAGAAAAGGTAGACGATCTTACAAACAAACGTCGTATTTAAAATTAAAAAGAAATTCATCTGTCTTAGAGAGAGGGGTGGCGGTAATGATGATAGATATTTTCGCGGTCTGCCAAGTAAGGAGGCTGTAAATCTCTTCTATGTAGAAACGGAACGGAATATGTTCGCGTTGCTCGGACTAGTAATAATTAACGACAAGCTATTAAAAGTACATCTGTTCTGTGATACAATAGTTAATATATTACGCACGTGCTAAAATTGTCAACTGCATTAAAGTGTATGTAATTTCTATGTAAATGATATCATTTTCGTTAAAAACATTTCTATAATTTGTTGTACATACGGTGTTGTCAATTATACACGATAAATAAGATTAAGCAAATGAACAAAAAGTGTGTAATAATTAATATAGTTGTTAATCTGAGAGTCAATCTTTCTGATAATACAAATAAACTACTTGGACGATATTTTTGTAGTAAATCGGTAATGTTGAATGCGACATAAAAATGGTAAACAAGTTGCAGAATTTTAACGTTAAAATAAAGATTGAAAAATATTCTACACGTTATCTGTAATGTGAAAGAATTTATTTATGGTTGAGAGATTTAAATTTTTGCGAAAATTTAGTGCGAGGTTTCGATTTGACCGTCTGTAGGTAATACAGGTAGAAGGTGCTTGATAGGCTTACAAGCTTCCGGCTGTCATCGTAGTTATAGCGTATGGTGTATAAAAGTTACAGTATGGGTATTGTTTTCTAGTAACAGTTTCCGTGAACCATTCACATGTCAAACAGTAGTTTCTTCACGAAAAGTACGCGTGCATTCGTAGTAAACGCATTGCCGTATCTAACGTGAAACGCTTCAATTGAACGAACGTAAACCGAAACGGAAATCAAGAAGCACACATGTTACGAAGCGGGTCTGTCATTTCGGGACAGTAAACAGAAGGTGATTTCGTTGTACGTTTATTCTCGACGCATAGAATGTCCGTGACCGAGGAAAAAATTCAAGAGTTAAACAGACGGTTTCTAGAATTTATGAGCAAAAGTGAGAATGCAGAGTCAGCGACGAAAGAAATTTACGAAGATCTTCTCGACGAGGTCTTAATGGGATTCGTTTTCGATGTACATCGAACTACGAAAACTGGTAGTTCAGCTGTCGAGGAAGGTATACCTGATGACGAGTCATATGCTATCGTCGGTAAGTGAAATAGTTAGAAGATACTGTTACAAGTGGTAACGGAGATGATCTGTTTTTCAGGTTATGTTTGTTTACTATGTTTCTAACGTTTTGCAAAAAGTTGTAGAATCTACTGCAGCATTTTGCAAAATTAGCTGTCAACGTTAGAAAATTTTCTTAATTGTAAATTTGTGTTAAAGATTCCCCTGGACTGGACGTCTTTGGTCAACACCCTGTCAAAAAATCTCAGGAATGCAATTGTCCAAATTGTGATAGAGGAGTGGCAGCCTGTCGTTTTGCAACTCATTTAGAAAAATGTATGGGCATGGGACGAAATAGCTCGCGTATCGCATCAAGGCGTATAGCCAATAATTCGAAAGATCTTAGCAACTTCAGCGGTGTTATAAGCGACGACGACGACGACGTTGACTGGAGTTTGAATAACGACAAGCGTAAACGCAGGAAAGATCGCAATGGTATAAAAAGAACGAAGCAACAAAAGAACAGTCAAAGAAACGGAGAGAGTGTAAATGAACATATTCATAGTAGTAATGAAAATTCTCCGTCGAATTATGAAAATATGTCTTTGGAAGATAAAAGGATTCTGCTAACTCAAATTTGTGGAGTAATATCAGAACATACCAAAAAATTATGTACACGATCTATGCGGTGTCCGCAACACACGGAAGATCAAAGGAAAGAAATGCGAGCAAATTTAGAATCCGGAAACAATGCACAACCTGGTCAAGATAATCTTCATGTAGATGTAGATACGTACGAAGAAGGAGATGGACAAAATTTAAGAGAGGCATTAGCGCGTTGGGATCGCGAAGGTTCAAGTCACTCGAGCCCGGCAGATTCTACATCTACAACGTCGACATCCTCGATAAGTAGGAAACGGGAAACAAAAACAAAAGGCAAAGGAAAAGGTTCGAAACGCGATCGTGGATCGCCTATTTCGCAAGGAGATTAAAGCAGTTCGTTTAAATTACTTTTTAGTAATAAGAATTTTCTAACAGGGAAAATTATGTAATAATAATGTTCCTACGCATTGTACAAAGCTTGAAAAATGTATCATTCACCATAAAATACAAATGCAAAAATGTCTCGATTTTATTCGATCGAATTGCTCTGGAATGTGTAATTCATTTTTTTTTTCATTTCTACACACCCCTGGCAGATTTATTTAAACAAGTATTACGTATCTAAGTACAACAACCAATGAATATTTCATTGTTTTAATAGTAGGGGGCGCTGCGCCAAGATACACTGCACTTGAAGTCGTGTATATGAATTATTGCATGATTATACGCCATATTTGATTGAGCATCGTTTAACGTATATAAATAAGGTTGTCGTCGTTGCGTATCTATAGTGAATTGCATCGAATCGTTATCCTTTTACGAAATATTCTTCGTGAAGAGTTGCTTCGATGTGAAATATCGACGAAGGGTAGCATCAGAAATTTTTCTGCGCATGTCTCTTGTGTGCATTACCACACGCATTTCTGTTAATGCTGTGGCAAGTTTCAACGTAACTCGCCGTACCTAATCTTAGGAAAACGTTTCATACTTTCAAATAAAATAACAGAATAAAAATGTTAAGTGTACAAATAAGTGACGCCTTTGGCATGAAACAGATCCTTACAACCGATACTCCACTTAAAGTTTACGAATTGCGCGATCAAATTAAAGGTTTTTCCGTAAGCATATTAATCTAACCTTAACATTATTCGTTCAACAGTTAAAAATAATTTGAACAATGTTTCACGAAATTTATTGCAGGAGAATTTTTACGTTATACACAATGGAAAGCTCGTGGATGAAAATACCACTTGTTACAATGGTTATATTTCCGTTGTACCAAGATTGTTCGGTGGAAAAGGAGGTTTCGGTTCCATGCTACGAGCAATCGGGGCACAAATCGAGAAAACTACAAATCGCGAAGCTTGTAGAGATTTAAGTGGACGCAGACTTCGTGATATCAACGAAGAAAAAAGACTAAAAGTTTGGATTGAGAAACAAGGAAAACGAGAAGAGGAAGCGGCAGAACGTAAAAAAAAGAAGTTGGAAAGACTTTGTGCCGAACCTAGACACGAGTTTAAAGATCAAACTTACGAGCGCGAAAGATCAGCTCTTACAGAAAGAGTTGGAAATGCAGTTGAAGAAGGTTTTAAAATGGCCACTGTTGGAGTAAAAAGAAAACGCAACGACGAATTTAAACCAAATAAAAAGAAAATATTATTAGATCTTGATATCGATTCAGATGAACTTACCAACAGTTCCGATGAAAGTGAGGGAGAAGAAAAGAAGTCAGAGGAAGTAGTCAAAAGTACAGAACTAATGTCAAACGATAGTGGACATTCCAGTGACGAAAGTGGAGGAAGAATTGAAAATAAAAGTAAAATAGAAAATATAGATTCAGAGGCAAGTTCTGAGAATGAAGTTGGTAGTGAAAATTCAAGTAAAGTCGAAGATGAAAAAGAACCTGCCAGGCCAGATTAAAGTAAATTTTTAATGTCAAAGTATACCAATAAATGCCTTAAAATACCTGTATAACATTTGTCACGTGCAGCAAAATTGTTTATCATTAAAAAAATAGCATAATTTAACAATTGTATACCTTTAATTGTTATATTATTAAGTCGAGCATTGATTTTACAGTAGTAATTGGTATATAAGGTTTAAATATAATATATATGTAGAAGTATTAACATAACATTGACTGTGAATAGATTTAAAATAATCTTGTTAGCATTTTTTGAAACCTTTTTAGAAGGAGTTAAAATACTTTCCAGGCAACTAATTCAGTAGTAAGTTTAACACCCACTGCAAATAAGGCTACTGATGTAACAAACGACTTAAAAGAGTCATTTACAAGTATTTCTTTATACTTGCGTTTATTATTTTGTGCACACCTATTCTTAATTTGCGTTTGTATCATATTCACTAAAGCACCCAGACAAATGTAATATAATTTATATTTTTTACTTGAAGTATGCTGAAAATAGTTATCTATAGTTATTTTTTTAAGCTTTTTAAAATGTATGTTTAAAAATGCAGTAATCAGAAGTTATAGATAAATCTCACATTTTGGTAAATTCGTTTTTTCTTAAGAGGTGATGAATCTGTTAGCATAGGTGACGACGTACAAACATTATATTCCACAGTCATTTTTAATTTCCCTTGTTAAATTTAAAATTTTTTGTTACATCATGGTATATACAGCTCAAAATATTTACGTATAAACAAAAGCAAAGAATATCGGGGTTGACGTTCTTCTGTTCGATATACATACATATGTACGATTCAAAGAAGGAAAATGAAAGTGGAGCCTAACGTTCGGTATTCTTTTTTCTTTCGTTATTACATTGGACTGCACCACTAGTAGTATGTAGAATGTATACGTGCTTATGTACGTATGCCAAGTAAACAGGGTTACGCACAAATTATCGGTAATAGTAAGTACACGTATTTGTAATTTATATCTTATTGGTAATACACGATAAAACGTAAGTATGTATGTGCTCGACAACTTTAAAGTTGAAGCAAATGTAGTTGCTTGCGAACCTTGAAGTCCTGTAAAGTTGAAGAAAGTGATTAAAATGAATAAAAGAAGGAACTGTGAAAAACCAAAATGACAGAGTTACTCATTCGATGGATACGGACTTATTTATAGGTAGGGGGGAAACCAGTTGACCCTGGTACCGGTCACTCTATCAGCGACGCTGTTAGTTGGTTTCTTGATCTCATACATAGCGCAGCCTCTTTTGGCACGTTGAACACGTATCGAATTCACTTTTAATAACTGAAAAAGCATCGGTGAGAATTGATGCTTCGTCTTTCTCAACGATTAGTAGTGTAATTCTTCGCGTTCTACCAAACAAAGAAGATGGTTCGATTATTTATTTTAGGTATTCTACAAACGGTGATATTTAGTCGTGTAGCTGGACGTAAGTGAACGAAACGAATAATTATACTTGCTAAAATTCGATTAACCATTTGAACGATGTGTGTTGGCATTGGTTATTAATTGGATTAATCTTGGACGTCCTCGACGAAACGATTATTTCTGCAATAATCGCTCGAAATGGAAAAATTGATAACGGTAGGAGGAAACGTTAAGTAACGCTGTAATATATTCTTCGAATTGATCGATGTTTCCTTGGATAACGCGGAATTACGACACTGCGGGAAGAATCGTCGCTGCATCAAAGTAAATAAGAATCTATGTATACGAATGCGCGATACAGGTTCACATTTATGCGCATACTCTCAAGGCCAGGCACGCATCGCTCATCATTATAATAATATCTTTTTAATGTTACGAAGATGACTTTCTCTTTTAGAATTTCAAGGGCAATCGAATTGTGTGACACCCGGTAATTTAGCCGGTTCTTGTATAGGAATACGCCAGTGTCCGCAGTTGTTGAGAATCCTCGAAACGAAACCCCTTAAGCCAGATGTTGTAGACTATCTACGGCAATCCCAGTGCGGTTTCGACGGCAATCTTCCCCGTGTTTGTTGCCCAATTCAAAGCGGGAACATGAACGTTCCATCTCGAGGTGAACAAGTTTATCTCGGAGATAATTTCGGATCGAATCAAAACTCAGGTCAAGAAAATACCGACGAGAAGACTACCGACGACGCAAACCTGCGGTACGACTTCTCCAACAATCCTCTGCTTCCCAACAATTGTGGCAAAGATCTGTCCCAAAGGATATTCGGTGGAGAACGTACGGACCTCGACGAATTTCCCTGGACGGTACTTTTGGAGTACAAAAAACGTAAGGATTCGAAGGATAAAGGGAGGTGAACGATGATCGGTGTGTCTATAAGTGGGGAAGGAAGTTAAATGATATAAAGTGACATTTTTTAGCAAACGGAAGGGGCACATCTTGCGGTGGAGTTCTTATCAGCCGGCGTTACGTTCTTACCGCAGGTCACTGTGTCTCGTACACGGATATACCAAAAACCTGGAAATTGGATGCCGTTCGTTTAGGCGAATACAACACCGACACCGATCCCGACTGCATCCAAGATGACATCGACAGCGTTGTTTGCGCGGACAGTACCGTATCGGTTGGAATCGAGGAACAAATGATCCACGAGAGTTATCGGCCAACAATGACAGATCGGAGATACGATATAGCTTTGCTAAGATTATCTCGCGACGTTTCCTTCACCAATTACATCAAACCAATTTGCCTGCCACCGAGCGCCTCCGTCGGGCAAAGATTGTTCGTGGCCGGTTGGGGAAGAACGGAGAACAGGTCGTCGTCGAACGTGAAGCTAAAATTATCTTTGCCAGTCTTCGATAAAGAACAATGCAAGACGATCTATAGAGAGGTAACGACTCTCGGTTACGGGCAAATTTGCGCCGGTGGGCAAAAAGGCAAAGACTCCTGCCAAGGTGATTCAGGTGGACCGTTGATGGGTGTGGAGAGAAATCAGGATGGTAGCGGAAGATGGACGCTGATCGGCATTGTTTCCGTTGGACCCAAGAATTGCGGAACAGTCGGATGGCCCGGAGTTTATACCAGAGTGATCGATTTCGTTCCGTGGATACTTAGCAAAATGAGGGCTTGAAATTGATGTTACACGCAATATATTTCTATACCGTTACCTTCAATTTTCACATTTTCTTACACTACTATTGTAGAATATAGCAACGCTTGCCCGCAGACAAAATTTCTTCGCCTTTTGTAACGATAAGATTGTTACGTATTCGTTTGTTATCGGCGTGAAAGGTTATCGGGCGGCAATAGATCACGGAGAGTGTCATGTAAAAATTGCATCTTTCCAGCGCACTACTGCAACTATATTCCTATTTTCTTCCTACTCGAATAAAGTGCCTTCCATTTTTCAAACGATATTAGCTAATTACTTCTGTCGCCATCTCTACGACAAATCGCATTGTCCGCCGCATGACGTAAAGTACGGTCGATGTTGGAATTGGAAATCCCTGAGTTGTTTCAATCCTCAACCCACCAAGACGGAATGAGCAGTCCTTTTCTCGGAAGGGAAAATCTATCCCACCGCACTAACTACGTATCTACGTACTATATGTATATACATCGGCATCCTCATTTTCATTTTATTTCCTTCAAAAGGATAAAAAACGATCTTCGGAATGCTCCGATCTGTTTGCTAAAAAAATGAACGGGTCAAAAGGACAAGCGTCTGTCCTCAACTTAAAATCCTGCATTCTTATTAGTCGCAAGAATTTTCCTCGTAACCCCTTCCCTTTGCCTGGGCGGTAGTTGCCTTTCTCTAATTGGGAGACTTATCAAACTCAGCAGATGGCAGCAGTTAGTATCGCGGAGACTGTCGCGTGGATCCGTTCTTCGCGAAAGCAACAAGTAGATAAATACAAGTCAAGATTTCAAAATTGTCGCTTCTCCAACGCCGTGAGTAGGATTTCACTCCGTTAGAAAGACCAAGTAAGAAAAGTGAAGTGTTCTTACGAGTGGTTAGAAAATTACGGTACACGTATCTTCGAATTTCTTTTCAAGAGAAAGAAGAAATTTCTGGATCGATATGATCCGTCACCTTTTGATAGGGCTTGTGATCCTCTGTGGAACCAGCGCGCGTGAGTAATTACTCCGTTGTTTCATTCATTGTAATTTGCCAATGATCGTAACAACTTTACACAATCCTAAAATACCATACTGTTCTTTTCTTTCTTTCGTATCTGTTCTTCTTTTGTTTTCCGTTTTTTCTCTCTTTCGGCGGGGGGGCATTGGGAAAAAAGAAAAGACAAAGCAACGAACGATCGTGAGCCGCACCGGGGCTTGAAAAGGAAAAATAATTTGCAGCCAGAAAATGAAAATTTCGTTCGATCGGTAACGTACAACGCGCGCAATGCCATACGTGCATTTTAATTCTGATTGTAATCAACGCTATACACAATAGCTCGGCAACGTTCGTACACCGAATGCTAATCTCATGTGACATCTTTACTTCCGTGGTGATAGTCACAGATATTATATTCGATAATCCAACCGAGAAGTCTAAGCAAGAGGTTTTTTCCGCAGAAGAAACATGTGTTTCACCACGGAATAGACCTGGTATTTGCATCAATATATACAATTGCAAGCCAATAATAGAAATTTTTCGAACGCAAAAACCATTGTCGAAAGAACTTCAGGACTACATAGGCAGTTTACAATGCGGATTCGAGGATACCGTTCCGAAAGTATGCTGCGAACAACAGGTGGAACATTTCGTATGACGTATTTTCATCGTTAAGAAAATTCGAAGGAAACGTGTTGCGATAAATTGTAACGATTTTTAGGGATCTGTAACGCCTTCTCCACGGCCAACGGAAGAACCGAACGTGATGTCCGGAGTTCCAGATCCTCCGGACGTTACGAATCATCCGAATTTACCACTGTTGAGTCACGACGTGTGCGGCCCGGTGACACAACAGAAGATCTTCGGTGGAAACAAAACCGGCGTCTTTGATTTCCCGTGGATGGCTCTGCTTTTATACGACAACGGCAGACAGGTTCCGGAATACAGGTGCGGAGGGACCTTAATCAACAAACGATACATACTCACTGCCGCCCACTGCGTCACATTGTTGACGAATAGTAAGTCGGACCGTTGGTGAGAATGGCGTACATAATTCGATCGTTACAGATACAGGATAACGTTTCTATAAATTTCTGCTAGATTTCCGGCTGATCGGAGTACGACTTGGAGAACACGATTTAAGCACCGAACGTGACTGTGACAAAGATGCCGACGGTCTCGAAGTTGTTTGTGCCGAGAGATATCAAGATTTTGGTATAGAGAGTGTGCACTATCATCCGGAATACTCGAACGTAAAACTGATCAACGACATTGGATTGATACGACTGAACGCAGATGCCGATCTTACGCCGCAAAGCGTTCGGCCGATATGCTTGCCAATTGGAACAGCCGCGAACATAACCCGGAAAAAGGTAAACGCGATTATCGCGAACCAACTACTTTCTAGTCTCGATGCTGTTTATTCTATTCGCCTTGTGGCAAATATCGCTAACTCTCGTATTCGATAACAGGTGATCGCGACGGGTTGGGGAGTGACCGAACGTGGATTACGAAGTCAAGATTTGCTCCAAGTTCAATTACCGCTAGTGAGTCTAGAGAAATGTAAAAATCAGTTTAAGAGCAAAGTGAATATTTCGTACAAGCAGATATGCGCGGGTGGTAAAAGAGGTTTAGATTCTTGTTCGGGAGATAGCGGTGGGCCGCTTCAAGCTCCTGGTGTGTACGATAATAATCTGAGATACGTTCAGTACGGAGTTGTCAGCTTTGGGACTATACCTTGTGCTACGGAGGGATCTGCCGGAGTTTATACCCACATTGCGTACTACATGGATTGGATCCTAAACACTATTACAGCATAATGTAACGATATGCTGAAACTACTCTTTTTACTACTGCATTTTTACAATTAACAGCTTATCAATTTTTACAAACGAGTCGAATTAAATACAGCGTTGCTAATATCCGAACACATTATTTGCAATTTCTTTCGTACGATTTCTTTCTTCCTATCCGTCAATTTGGGTAAAGTTCGTTAAGTGCATCTCTTACTCTCCGAGCATAACGTGCTGGATATCCGTCGTGCTGTAACCACATCATTTGGTGAACGTTCAGTGGTATATTTTCTAATAGTACACACGTAAAAGTGCGGATCTGTGAAATACAGCATGTGCTGGAATAAGTTCAGAGACGACGAGACATGCACATGATGCAACGGTACGACGATTGCAACTGTGCATTGACGCAAACGGTCACCACTTCGAACATCTCCGGTAATGTAAGAAAGTTTATTTTACTACCACATTTCACCTTGCACGACCATCAATGATATAGCTTGCTGAAGTCGTCTCAACGCCGGCTGTCGCATCGCGATAACAGAAACATAGCATTCCGTTTAAAAAGAAATAGAGATCACCTTGAAATCTCCCTTATACCTCCACCCACGCAGAAAATGTTTAAATGTCCCCCTCAATACCGTGCAAGTATTACATGTAACATTTTTTCACATTATCGCAAATAACCCCACCCTGTAGTAAATTAAAAATTTTAAACTTGACGTATAAAAATAATAAAATCGACAATAAATAAATATGTATCGATCGAAATTCAGTCAATATGTATGTAAAACCCGACCAAAAAATCCCAATCGTTAATTCTAAATAACGAATCAAAATATTGAATATATTGAATTAATGGAAAATAAAGTCCTAAAAAAAAAAAATATAGTTAAAACCAACCCATTAGTTAACTTAGAATAATTACCAGCTAATAAACCATTATGACTTCATGAAGCAGTCAACCCGGAAGAGATTAATATTACTGAATTTAATAAAGGAATATCATAAGGATCAAAAAATGAAATTAATAATTGGGATCATAATATACCAATATCAATTGCTGGTGAAATTGAAAAAAAGATCCAAAAAAATGAAATAAAAAAAAATAATTCAGTAATAATAAATAAAACTATACTAAACTTTAAAAATTTATATATGTACATATGTAACCCCTGAAATATACTTTCCCGAATAATATCACGAGCTCATTGTAAAAAGACAAAGAAAAAAGTATCTCAACGTTAGAACCAATATAACAAAAGAAAGTTAAGAAATGAAAATAGTAAAATAAAAAGACATATAGATATTAAATAAATGAATTAATTTATTAATCAAAACTTAAAAATATATTTTAGTGTAAGCGCGCATCAAATTTGGAATTTTAATGAATTAAAGTCCAAGCCTTAAAGCATATCACAGCAGTTAGTGTCGCGTGGATCCGTTCTTCGTGAAAGCAATGAGTACATATATAAACAGATTTCAAAACTGGTTTGTCCGCTTGGCCGCTGATTTGAAAAATTGCAAGTGTGGCTTCTCCAACGCCATGAGTAGGATTTTACTGCGTTAGAAAGACCAAGTAAGAAAAGTGAAGTGTTCTTACGAGTATCCCTATCTGGCTGGAAAATTACGGTACACGTATCTTCGAATTTCTTTTCAAGAGAAAGAAAAAATTTCTGGATCGATATGATTCGTCACCTTTTAGTAGGGCTTATGATCCTCTGTGGAACCAGCGCGAGTGAGTAATTACTCCGTTGTTTGATTCATTGTAATTTGCCAATGATCGTAACAACTTTACACGATCGTAAAATACCATACTGTTCTTATCTTTCTTTCGTGCCTTTTTTTTGGATTTTTTGTTTTTGGTTTTTCTCTCTTTGGCGGGGGGCATTGGGAAAAAAGAAAATACAAAGTAACGAACGATCGTGAGCCGCACCGGGGCTTGAAAAGGAAAAATAATTTGCAGCCAGAAAATGAAAATTTCGTTCGATCGGTAACGTACAACGCGCGCAATGCCATACGTGCATTTTAATTCTGATTGTAATCAACGCTATACACAATAGCTCGGCAACGTTCGTACACCGAATGCTAATCTCATGTGACATCTTTACTTCCGTGGTGATAATTGCAGATATTACATTCGATAATCCAAACGAGGAATCTGGACGAGAAGATTTTTTTGGAGCAGAAACATGTGTTTCACCGCGGAATAAACCTGGTGTTTGTACCAATATATACAATTGCAAGCCAATAATAGAAATTTTTCAAACGCGAAAACCATTGTTGAAAGAACTTCAGGACTACATGAGCAGTTTACAATGCGGATTCGAGAATACCGTTCCGAAAGTATGCTGCGAACAACAGGTGGAACATTTCGTATGACGTATTTTCACCGTTAGGAAAATTCAAATGAAACGCGTTGCGATAAATTGTAACGATTTTTAGGAATCGGTAACGCCTTCTTCACGGCTAACGGAAGAACCGAACGTGATGTCCGGAATTCCAGATCCTCCGGACGTTACGAATCATCCGAATTTACCACTGTTGAGTCACGACGTGTGCGGCCCGGTGACACAACAGAAGATCTTCGGTGGAAACAAAACCGGCGTCTTTGATTTCCCGTGGATGGCTATGCTTTTACACGACAACGGCAGAGAAACGAGATACAGGTGCGGAGGGACCTTAATCAACAAACGATACATACTTACTGCCGCCCACTGCGTTACATTGTTGGAGAATAGTAAGTCGGATCGTTGGTGAGAATGACATAATTCGATCGGTAAAGATACAGGATAACGTTTCTATAAATTGCTGCTAGATTTCCAGCTGATCGGAGTACGACTTGGAGATCACGATTTAAGCACCGAACGTGACTGTGACAAAGATGCCGACGGTCTCGAAGTTGTTTGTGCCGAGAGATATCAAGATTTTGGTATAGAGAGTGTGCACTATCATCCGGAATACTCGAACGTAAAACTGATCAACGACATTGGATTGATACGACTGAACGCAGATGCCGATCTTACGCCGCAAAGCGTTCGGCCGATATGCTTGCCAACTGGAACAGCCGCTAACATCACCCGAAAAAAGGTAAACGTGATTATCGCGAACCAACTACTTTCTAGTCTCGATGCTGTTTATTCTATTCGCCTTGTTGCAAATATCGCTAACTCTCGTATTCGATAACAGATGATCGCGACGGGTTGGGGAATGACCGAACGTGGATTACGAAGTCAAGATTTGCTCCAAGTTCAATTACCGCTAGTGAGTCTAGAGAAATGTAAAAATCAGTTTAAGAGCAAAGTGAATATTTCGTACAAGCAGATATGCGCGGGTGGTAAAAGAGGTTTAGATTCTTGCTCGGGAGATAGCGGTGGGCCGCTTCAAGCTCTTGGAGTATACGATAATAACCTGAGATATGTTCAGCACGGAATTGTCAGCTTTGGGCCAAAAAATTGTGGTATGGAAGGATTTGCCGCAGTTCATACCCGCGTTGCGTATTACATGGATTGGATCTTGAACACTATTACAGCATAAAGTAACGATATGTTGAAACTACTCTTTTTACCACTGCATTTTTACAATTAACAGCTTATCAATTTTTACAAACGAATCGAATTAAAAAGAGCGTTTCTAATGTCCAAGCACTTTATTTGCAATTTCTTTCTTACGATGAATATTATTACATCACGATTATACATGATTGTATATATTAATCGCATCGCACAATATCTCGCAGCTTTAATTATTTTACAACGACATTAAAAGGAAATTTCACAAATTGGACGTCTGTTTTAATATAGGCATGTAATAAAGGATCAAGTTTGAAAATTTACACGTACCCCTATCGTACGATTACTTTAACGAGGTTTTTGCGGTCGTTATCTTATTCCAACTAATTACGATCGTTAATTATCACACCGCTTAACGAGACTTTGCTAACTATCTTTCCGTATTGTGTTCGTCATTTTCATCGTGACCCTCGTTAGAGATTGACCGTTCGTCGATACGTATTTTCTCGTTTACGTTTTCATCTTCGATCAGCTCTGCGGTCTCGTTTATAGAAACTTTTAATTGACTACGATCTCCTTTTTTTTTCACTAGCGAACTGTGAGATTTAGTTATGGATTTTTCAGATCTTTCAGATATAGATGCATTCGACAACTTTGAAGAACGACTACTGGAACTAGACAAGGATCCAGAGTCCGATCTGGAGATATTTTCGTAATCCATGTACAATCTATGTTGCTTCTTCTTTTTCTTTCGTTGCAACATTTTTGAACTACCAATTTTCTGCTGCACCTTTGTCAACGACTGAAAATCCTGCAAAACGTATCCTTATAAATAATTCCTTCTCCGACCTTCGGTTTAGCCACCCCGAAAGTAAAATCTATTCACTTGAGAATGACGTTCGAAAAGAGTTGGTATTTGTGTCACGCGGTCCAGCATCATTTCCATTTGCAATCGATGACGTTCCGCTTGTTCACGCGCTTCGTTGCGACGAAGCAAAGTTCGAATGCTAAGATCTCTCTCGTGTTCGTGCCTTATAATTGAAAATTATTTATTTACTCGTTGTAATATCGATAGTAGAATGTTTTAATTGCAAAAAAAAAGAAATACGCATGACCGTATCTTTTGAAAAAATTACACCTTGCTGCAGATCTTAAGTCTCGCCACACTGGATTGCGTCCAATCAACGATTCCCTAAGTTTTATTTCCTGTTCTCGTCGTTTCTCTTCCATTTTTTCCCTTATTTCTCGTTCCAACTTTTCCCTGCGATATATACGCAAAAGTATACGCTCTCTTTTTTTTCATTTGCACGACTAATCAAAAATATACAGCTACTTGGATTATACGTAATTCAATAGTGTACCGTGATACTTGGCATCTTAAAATTGCTGCCAAATTATTTCCCTGTAGAGGTAAAAGGGACATCATAGATTTACATCTTCCTAATGGTACTGAAGTATCATTTGACAATAACGAAGGGCTCTTATGCTCGATGTTCTCGTTGCAATTTTTAATCGAACGCTGCAACTGAGATTTCACTCGTTCTCGTCTTGCCATCGATGGAGGTAAAGAAGATGACTTCATTAATTGCGCGGCTCTTACTTTTTTTTCTAACTGCCTAAAATTTACAATTTTCTAATTGTCTACAATTTAGTGCATAACTGAAAAGTTACACATAACTATGTACTACGTTGACCTGTAATATTCGTCTTCGAGCATACGATCGTACACTTCGGTACTGAAAAGATTCCTTGGCACTGGTTTAGCCTTGAATTTCGAACTCGTGTTAACGCTCTTACTACGTATTTCTGGGCTAGACCTTGCTAAACATCTCCAAGCTCGACGATCGCACTCGAGTCTAAAAGGGCGTACCTGAGACATTAAATTTAACGCACTTTCTTCGCGGATTATACGACTCCTAAAACAATAAATACCCAAAGTAAATGGATATCCAACGTTGTATATTAATTTAAACGAAAAAGAAAAAAAATATGAAAACAAACCGTTCTTCTTTCTCAGCCAGTAACTTTTCATAAAGTGGAATTTTTGATGTAAGTGGAATTGGTCTTACACGTCGTTTTCTACATGGACTCCTTTTATTACTTTCTAAATCTCTGTGTACTTCTTCTACTTCCACTTCAGCATGTGTCATGTACTTTTCTGCTTCTTCTCTAAGATACATGTTTTAAAACTTGTGTAGATAAATTACATTAAATTTACTGTTGCAGAGAAAGTCATTTATTACCTTAGGGTGAAGCTAAATGGCTTGGGTACAGTAGGATGCCACACTTTTGTAAGACTGGCTGGTAAACTTCTTGTCTCTATACTGTCAATATCACTTTCCATACTATCATCCCTATTCAATTTATTCCACATAGTCCAATTTTCATTAGTCAAGCATGCTTTTTCTTTACATACTGTTTCATTTTCTTTATCCCTTCTGCTATATTTAAAAATGGTAACAGTTGCAGCCTTAATTAAATAAAAGAAATCCACTTTTATTTAACTACATATACCTATTTATACCTACGTATAGGTATTTATTAAAAAATCCTCATCTTCTGAGAGTCTGTCAACTTTATTAGAAGGAAAAAGTATAGGACTAGAAGTTCTACATTCTTCCAAGTAACACTTTTTACCATTCAATGTTAAATCATTAATAGTACTTTTACTTTTCATTTTTGGTCTCTGGTTCTGATTACACTTAAATACTGAAAATTTAGATACATTTGCATTTTCATGGTCAACATGCGAATTTTGTAAGTTTTCTAATAACAACTTTTGTTTCCGTTTTAAATAATCTACTTTTTGTTTAAATTGCTCATTTGATAAATGATGGACTTGACCATAATCTGGTATACTCTCTAGGAATTCCAAAAAATTGTCCACAATCCCTCTAGGACTTGATATTTCCGATTCGCTAACATATTCCTCGTCTTTTGCAAAATTTATTTTGCGTCTGTTGTAAATATCGCGATATTTTTTATTATTTCTAGATCCAATACGTTCATATGAAGGAGTAGGTTGCCTACTACACGGATCTACTGGTACTTTTACACAGGAATTGTAAAAAGACGTACCTCTGTGTTCTGTCATTGCCCTATTGTAACAAATAAATTTTTTATATAAATATAATATTATCGATATTTTTGCAAGTAATTGAAGACATTTCGGATACGTAATAGTTCAAATCGCGTTTGAAAACGCGCACATTTAGTTTTGACGTTTTGAACGAACCAACGGATATACGTATACCCTACAAAGTAAATCATTATGTTGCTTATTGTTTTTTCTAAACACAAAGTTGTAATTGCTACGTATTATTTTTATGTAAATAGACATTAATACTTACCTGCAAGTTTTTCTTATAAAATTTACGAATTTGATCATATATTAAATGTTACATTATTAGTGAATAATCTTAAAAAATTTTTACAAATGAAAAATCATAATTCGAACGTATAATTCTTTACTTCATAGAGTTTTAATCACCATATGAAAACAACTTCTGGAAAAGATCAATGTTCGGTGTATGTATTCATCACCATGGTGAATAAAACGAAGCATTTAGAGAGATTTTCTACAAGAAACCGTACAATATTAAAAATTAGGACAGAAACGATTGTATTGATGAAAATTATTTAAGAAGAATTCAATACTTATAAAAGTATTTCAAAGTATAATCGCATATGCGAGTATTCGAATGTTTGAAACAGTTACATAAATTTAAGTCGGACAGGTTTTGAATTTTTATTTATAATTGAATTCGAAAAGAAGTCATTTACGTACTTTTAAGATATTGTACAATATGTAAGCAAAGATTTTGTCATTGTTTTGTAATAGAGGCCACAAATGTCAAATACCGAGCTGTTCGGTATTAATTATACGTAAATATATACAAGTATTTAATGTATGAAATACTTTTATTGTTTGGAAACAGTTGAGCAAAATGCGTTGCTTTATTTATTTTTTAATAATTTAGTATGACCGGTCATATTTTGCAGCATCAGGCGCATTTAATATACAATAAAAAATAAAAATGGCGACTTTCGTGAAAGCTGTAACGCATTCTAACGTTTTAACGTCAATTTCAACAAAGTACAAATACTTTTTCCTTAATGCGTCAATACGTGTTTCAACAAGACGCTGTTCCACCATACCACAAAATCATGAAAATTACGATGTTATTATCAGTGGTGGTGGTATGATTGGAACAACACTGGCATGTGCAATAGGTTAGTTCTTTCTTCATTTTTTTAGTTATATATATATATTTATATATATATTGATATTTGTGTAACTTATTGTTATAAAGTATGTTTCATAAACGCTTCTTTGTGTTACAACAGCAAATAACAGAAAGCTTGAGTGTAAAAAGATTCTTTTATTAGAAAGTGGTAAAAAACTTGAAGATGAACCAAGAGAACAATATTCTAATCGTGTGGTTGCTTTAAATCAACAAACATATATTTTGCTTTCAAGTATAGGAGCATGGCAACATATTGAAGCAACACGTTACTGTGCAGTAAGAAAAATGCAGGTATCATGACAATAGAAAATACTAAAACATGTTTTAAAACGTGTCGTTGTTTTGTATGAATAATATTACAAATGTTACAATTAAGTATACAATTTTTTTAGTAGGTATGGGATGCATGTTCTGATGCCATGATTGTGTTCAACAAAGATTGCTTGACTGAAGAAATTGCATACATAGTTGAGAATGATTTATTATTACAAGCAGTGAATAAACAATTGGCAAAGAAAGAAAATGTAGATGTAATTTATAACTCTAAAGTTGTACATATCAAGTTACCTGAAAGATCAGGAGAGAATGCAGAGATACAGTTACAAAATGGAACAACATATAGAACTAAACTATTGGTAAGGGAATATAAAAATATCATAATAACTTAACACATTTAATGCTGTGCATCATACAGAGTTATTATAATCTCTAACAATGCTTTCAACTTTGTTAGTTAAATTGTCCAAATGTGCACCAATATTGTAAGAGCATCTTTTTATTTCAGTTATTAAATCATTTAATTGTTGTTGGTTGTTACCGTTAGAGTTAATACTATAAAGTCGACTTAATCTAGAATTATCTACTTCTATATTATGTGTAGGCCTTTTTGTTTTTTTTTCTATTACTAAGCGATGTATAGTGCTTATTAATTCTGGCGGTAAACGGTTTTCGCGAGGATCGTTAGGACGAATGTGAATCGCACAGTGATGCGGTGGATGTAATAAAAGTGCACCTTTTCTGCACATTTTCATTATTTTATTTGGGGCATGGTCCAAAAGTTTAGAAAACAGCATGGTTTCTAAGTGTGCTATTAATTCGGCTCTACGTACTAACCTATCTAATCCAGCACACCTTCTTAGTTCTTGTATATCTGATACAGCAAGACCCATCATTAAGTTTGTTAAAATTACTGTTACTAAAATGACAAAACTTAGAAGCATCAAGTGTGCTGTCCCAGAATATAAAATTGGTGTTTCTTGATCAAAGAATATATCTTCAAATTCTAACTCTCCAGACATCATGATAATAGTTTTTAACAAAGCAACTAAAGGATCATTGAATGAATCATAATTTTTGTGTAATACACTGAAAGCTAAAGAAAAACCGATTATAAGGCATATATATGTAGCAAAGAATTTAAAAAAATTAATAGATACTTGGGTGAACATCTGTATGTAAAGACCAAACATTGGAAATCTTCCAAGTATTATCATTAATTCTATCCAAACTTGTAAAATACTTAGAGCTGCTACATGATATTGCCAATCATGCACTGGTGTGATTAACACTATACTTGATAGTAATACAACATTCCATTGAAGCCAATTTTCCCACCTTTTAATATAACCATATATACCATGAGCCATTTGAAAGCATTCTTTACCAGCTAGTACCACAGTAAATATTGATACCAACCAAAACAGTACTCTTCTAGCTCTATCAAAATTCTGAATATTATATAAATATGTGACTGCAATATATGCTGTAAAAAATACAACAAAGATGAAATGAAATATTATATTTAATAAAAAAAATTTACGAATTCTCAACCATTTTAAATACAGAAAGCTTTCACATAATGGATGTTTTAATATATGCTTTTGTCCAACTTCCACCAGACATAGCATTAAATCTGTTTCTCTTCCACCGGTTGATACTAATCGTCTAAAATCTAATCTTAACTCACAATCAACATCGCCTAATTCATGATCGTGTAAAGAAATTGCTTGATCTAAACGCGAAATAAATTGTGGTAATATGTCCGGTGTTCTACGTACGATGAAACTTAATGCAGAGATACCACCTTTTGTTCTAGCGGTAACATCTGCTCCTTTCGACAGTAACAGCATTACAGTTGATGAACTTTCATTTATCGCCGCTATGTGTAAAGGCGTGTAACCAAATTTGTCTGCTTTGTTAATCAAAGCACCAGCCTATTAAAATAAAAAGGCATATAATTTTGAATAGTTGCACATATTTTCTGGAATTAGTTCAAGTAGTAAATGAACCTGTATCAAAATCTTCACCAGCTCTATTCCTCTAGTAGCTTTTGCAACAGCAGTATGTAACGGAGTACGACCATCATTGTCTTCGACATTAATTTTAGCTCCGTTACTTATAAGTGTATCTAAAGTTTCCACAGACTGAGACAAAACTGCCAAGTGCATCGGTGTTTGGCCTCTTGAATTTTTTACCTCGCATATCGCACCAGCTTCAAGCAGTAACTTCGTGCATTCAGCGCTACCTTCTTCAGCTGCTAGATGTAGCGGAGTAGATCTCATCGACCCAAGTTGAACTCTTACATCTGCTCCATAACTTAATAACAATTTTACACATGTAACAGAACCCAAACTAGCCGCTATGTGTAATGGTGTTTCGGTGTAAACCTGATTAATCACCGAACCTTAGTGACAAATATTAATCTTAAATATTTTTAATAGCATTTACTTATTCACAAATAAATACCTGCGGATTATTGGGAGAAGCTCCTGCTTGTAATAAAATTTTAACGCAATCGTCTGCATTACTTAAAGCAGCATAGTAAAGAGGACTTTTCCCAGATATCCCCGCGTTTACATCTGCCCCTGACTTTATTAAACATTTAACGCAAGAAACATCTCCAGCAGCAGCAGCACAATGTAAAGGTGTATATTTTTTATTGAAATCCCACTCGAGCGGATTTGCTCCATACTTTAATAATTCCTCCAAAATTTTTACAGAAGCTGTACATGCAGCTAGATGTAACGGTGTCCTATAACATTCATAGATTAGTATTATGAGGAAACTCTTCGTACTTTTTACAATCTTTTTTCGTTTAATTACATACCTGCCGTCGCTATCTTTAGCTGAAACTTTTGCATTTTTATTCAATAAAGCTTTGACCACGTCAACGTGACCCAAATAGCAAGAAACTAGAAGGCAAGTATTTGGCCATCTCAGGAAAATTTGGGGAACAGTTGCACTTGTAGCTGCTTCATTTTCAATGTTTCTTAACGCGTTTTGTACACATCTATATTAAATAATTTCACTTCTTTATTATTACTATTAAAAAATTCATCCAGGGCTTTACGTAAAATATCTCCGTGAAGAGTAGGAATTACGGAGAGTGCGCGCTTTCCAGCTGGAAGATTAGACAAAGCCAAAACAATTTCTTCCTTATTCCATGGTTGTTGATTGGTCATTTGTCTCTCTTTTATGTGATATATAACAACTTCAGAACTGTATTCAGAACTTATACTGCTTTTTTCTATATCATTCATCCAAATACATTCCTGATCTTCCTGGAATTGTTGATATTGAACTGCACTTTTGTTGTAATAGCATTCATATCTTTTTATACTATACTTACATTATCATTAATAACAATAGTAGATGATGGTATTACATGTTCTATATTTGACTCTTCTTCACACCTACGATTTCTCAAAAATCTAGTTAGAAGTGGTTTTTTTCTTAAGGTTGACATGATACCTTACATTATTTTCTTTCTCAATGAAAATTTAGCAACCTAAAAAGTTGCAATATTAATTTTACTTTTGATTTGATTTTTGACAACATAAAACTGTTCAATTTGTTTGTAACATTCACAAATTATGCACTATCTACCTCCAGTTTCAAGTATTTAAAAACTATTTCAGTTGCTTGTATGGTTTACAACAGGACCACACATGTTCCTTGGTGTTTATAAAACAGATCTTTTATATTTAGCTCTTACTACTTCCTGATGTATGTTGCAGCAAGAGGGAGTTCTGTATTATCAAATTCTTTTTGCCAGAATATTATTTTTTTTTTTTTATCATCAGCACTGAAGAGTAGAATATAAAATTTAAATAAAGTTTACACAACTTCACTTGCAAAATATATTTCGTTGTATAACTAATAACAACATCCTTTGAGGAAATAGTTGTGCTCATGTATTCTTTTTCCTTGTTAATATACATGTACAATATATGACAAAACTTTGGGAATCCAAGTAAACAATTTGTGTACAATATTTTAAATCGTTTTTGCAACTTACTCTGTTTTATTTGACATAATCTAAAACTACTATACATATAAATATATAAAACTGAACAATTTACAATTAGTAACAAAAAATGTAAAAAAGTATCATAAACATATAGAAAGTAATGGATATTTAAAATAAGAGAGTGAGTGTTGAGCACTTAAAAACTACATTCAGTATTCCTAATGAAATGTGGCACACAACTGAAGTTATTTCCAGACATATTACCAGTCTTTATTCTTCCCCTTCCCATAGCATAATACTGACATCACCTCCATATGATATAAACACTTGTTTAATTATTCTTTATTATTTCTATAAATGTTGTTTAAATCAATTAATGTCAGAAATTCCATTTTACTGGACATATATTCTAGATTGGTGCAGATGGTGCAAATTCATTAGTACGACAAACAATGGGTACGCAATATATAAAATGGGATTACAACCAACTGGGTGTAGTTGCTACTCTTAAATTATCAGAGGTAAGAATTAAATTATTATAAAACTGTTATATGAGTTAAAACTGGCATTGATTATATCCTCATTTCAGCCCACAGAAAACATTGTAGCTTGGCAGAGATTTTTACCAACAGGACCAATAGCATTACTCCCAGTAATTTCTTTCTTACTGTTATAAACTAATCAGATTTAGTTAGAATATTGTGCTAACTCGGTTGGAATTATAGTTAACAGATTGCCTTAGTTCTCTTGTATGGTCATTACCAACAGACGAAGCGAAAAGACTTTTAAAAGTTTCGGAAGAAGAATTCGTCGATAGCATAAACGATGCTTTGTGGAGAGTTTATCCGAAAGATGGTATAATTGAGAGCGGTTTGCGAGCACTTGAACAATTACTTGAAGGTTTATCTTTACAAACTGGCGTAGTAAGACAATTACAACCGTCAGTGTCAGCTATTGTCGAAGGATCTCGTGCCGCCTTTCCTTTACACTTCGGTCATTCTGTATGTTATGTTCAAACAGGAACTGTTTTAGTAGGGCAAGTAAAGGAGCACAACTATGTATATTCAGAATACACTTTATTATACTTTTATAGTATGGAACATCACTTTTGTACAAAATTTTTCAGAGATGCAGCACATAGAATCCATCCATTAGCTGGTCAAGGGGTAAACCTAGGTTTTGGAGATATAACAGTATTAGTTAAACTTCTTGCTGAAGCTGTTGTAACTGGAGCTTCATTAGGAGATATAATGTACTTAAGAAAGTATGAAACATTAAGACAACGATACAATGTTCCAGTAATGCTTTCTATTGATGCACTACATCGATTGTATAAAGGAACAGCCGCTCCTGTCGTATTAGCCAGAAGTTTAGGATTGCAATTGACAAATGCTATTCCAGTGATAAAGGTGAAGCATGATATAATTAAAAATAATGAAGTACAGTGTTTCACTTTATATTAATTAATTGGAATTCAATTATTGATTACAGAGAGCTATAATGGAACATGCAT